TCATCTTAAGAATCATAAAAATAAAATTGATGTTAATGTAAATAAACAAGCAATGATGTTGGACAGATTTCTTAAAAGTGGCAGTAATAGTGAACATATTGTGTGTACTGTATATATTTAAATCAATTAAGATATCTACATTTGTAATTTTCTTAATCTGTGATCCATTGACCTGATGGGACGGGTCGGGTCAACTGTTTAAAAGTTTGAGTTGGGACGGGTTGAACCACTGACCCGACCCGACTTGTTCAGAGCTCTATCAATTTCTTCATTTAACATTTCATTGTTATTTTCTACTTCTTTTTCTAATCTATTAACATAAGATTTTACATTTGTAGTAATTCCATTTTCGTAAAACTCTAGACAATATTTACAATTTCTACCAATTGTATTATAACAATTCAAATGATATCCATGTCCACATATCAGCACCAAACCAGTAGGATCATAATTACTCACAAATTTTTGTTTGCAATGATCACAACTATCAATCAATGGTCTAAATGAAGTGTGAAATGCTGTAGGTAAATTTTTTAATTTTACATTAATTCCAAACGCCATTTTGGTGTAAGTTCCCATGTATTTTTCATATATGTTTGATCCTTTACTACATTGTCTAGGAATGCAAGTGCTGGTGTATTGACACTCCATGGTACTTGTATTCTTTTGAGATCATCACAATGTTTTGATGTAGGACACACTACTGATCCCAATCTTAATCCTGTACATGACCAAAATTTAGTCCATGAATGTATAATATAAACGGATACTTTATTGGTTTCATAAAATTTTAAAAGAAATTCATGTTGTGAAATAAGAGAATCTGGTCGAAAATTTTCTGATAACCAAGGTTGCATTGATTCGTCTATTTTGCAAATGTATATGTTTTAGGTAATATTATGTATCAATTTTTATAATTTTTTTTACTAATAATTATAATAATAATAATTGAAGCATTACCAACCAACAATAACTACACCACCATCCTCGACATTTTCTTTAATCCATTGTTTCAATTCTTCAACATTTTTATAATCGCCTGTAGGATTACATGGATTTACAATACATGTAAGAGTAGCAGGTTTAACCTCATTAGATCCAAGAATCATACGTCCATTGGTTTCTGCTGATCTTTGATATTCTTTATACTATGAGATATATAGTTCATAAGCACATTTACATGCATATGCATGCATATTTGTATATAATAACATACATACTTGAACATCCCAAGGACCAGGTTTCCAAGTACCTTTAGGTGCAAGTCTTACAACTAAATCGATTAATTCACTTGCACCATTCCCAAGTAATAATCTATCATGATGTGTTTGATAATCATCAGGCCAAAGAAATTTTGCGAGTGAAGTTTTTGCAGGCTCTTGATTAGCAGGTGGATAATGATGACATGTATCAACCTAACAAGAAATAAAGAAAGTAAAGAAAGGCGGAAAACTGAAAAAATGAAAATGAAAATGAAAATGATGGAAATTACATATTTAAATATTTATATATGTAACATACTGAATCTTTTTAATGATCTACCCTTTCGACATGTGCATAAACTTGAACTAAAAAAGTTAATAATAGCTTTGGGTAAAGTTTTGTTTATTTTATTAGCTTTCTATTTATGGAGTATTTGATACAAGTTGATTAACAAATCTAATAATGTAAATCCATATATGCGGATTTTTTTATGGTTCCCCCTTTTTTCTCTAAAAAAGGAAACAGTGTAACAAAATATTTTTCAATTACATTATTAATTGGTGGTCCGCCGATCAACGATAGAAATTTGTTATGTAGATCCGGGATATCAAACTTATTATTATTAAAATTTAAGAGATCACGGAATCCAAATTGTCCATTAATTTTTTTTTAAAAAATATATTTCAAAGTTAAAATT